TTGTCTAGGCTTTAATAATTAATAAATCTATCTAAAAAATATATAACTATATATTTTTTTAGATACTAAATTCATTTCAATTAAAATTAAAATAAGTTATCTTAATAAAATTTTAAGTAATTTTACTTTATTTAATTGTTCAAGATTGTCCAAAATTGTCCAAAGTATTGTCCAAAGCTGTTCTATGACAACACTATTCTTACATACCATTTTCATTCAAAATGCCAGCGGTTTGTTCATTGTGTTTAGCATTTTTGACATTATTATATTTTCGAGAAGAATGAAGAATATTTTTTAGTGATGATAATACATTATCTGAAAGAATTACTGTATATTATTTTTATCTATTTTTTTTAAAACCTAATTTTTTTTAATAATATTCATTACAGATCTAAAGTTTTGTATATATGTATATATGTATCTTTGTTTTTACTTGTAATATCTTAATCATGAACTTTAATTTTTGTATTATATAATCACATAGAACATTGAATATTCTTTTTCGATTTATTTTTCATAAGTAATAATAATTCATTTTGACTAGAATTATTATCAATATCAATTATAGTAGTTAAAGTATTTATTAGAATTATGTGTAGCTTTATGTATATTATCTTGATTGAAAGTTACTAAAAATAAATAATTTTTTCTAATTAAACTTAAAATTAGTTGCTAAATATAAATATATGCATTATTCTTACTATTATTGTTATCACTAAAAGAATCTGCATTATTGGTTTTATCTATATCACTTTGATCATAATCACTTTCAATATTAATACTATTTGTATTATCATTATACTATTTAATATTCTTTTTTAATAGTAGTGTGTACTTCTTTGTCTTTACTTTAGTAACTTTTTTTTTCTTTTCTTGATTAATATCTAAAGAGTTTTGCACATTATCAGCCTCATCTATGTCATTTTGATTAAGAGTATTTTCGACATTATTTACATAATTTGTATTATCATTACGCCTTCTAATAGAAGGTTAGATAGTTTTTTTTTTTGGTAGTTGCATACTTTCCTTTGCCTTTGCTTTAGAAACTTTATTTTTTTCTTAATTAATATTCAAAGAATCTTGTGAATTATCAGTCTTATCTGTATTACTTTGATCAAGAATACTTTCAGTATTAACATTATTTGTAATATTATTATACCTTCTAATAGGAGGTTTACCATTTTTTTTTTTTTGGTAGCAATATATATCTCTTTGCCTTTGCTTCATTATTTTTTTTTTTTCGATCAACTATTATGAATACAAATTAATATATTTGATAATTACATGATTTTATAAAAAAAAATTGCATGCCTATGCTATTACAATATAAAGTAAGCCACTTATGAAGAATAAAGTTGGCTTCAGAAACAGGAAATATTGAATTAGCTTCATTAAACTATTATAGATATGAATTTTAGCTTTTTTTGTCTTTAAACAAATATTAAAAATTTATAGTTTTACCTCTTTTATAACCTCTTTAGCCTTTTCTTTTGGTTGGCAAGATAAAGATACACTACACAAGAATTGAGAAGTTGCACAATTTCATAAATCATTTTAAAAATAATACTGTATATATAATCAAATAATAATAAAATTATTATCTTTTAAACTGTAGATAATTTCAGGCAAATTTGTCTAAAAAATTGCTATAAATTTGTTTATGATTTATTTTTTTTAAAATTTAAAATATTTAAATAAAAATTTTTTTGATAATAT